GTCAACACCGAATCCCAGACATACCGACAGTCAACACCGAAACCCAGGCATACAGTCAACACTACATCTCAGGTATACTGACAGTTGACATGAGTCTGTGGCACACTGTTCATCCAGTCTGCATCTGAGATAACCTGTCTGTCAACACTTGCTCCCCTGCATACTGCCAGTCAATGCTGCATGTACGTAATGCTGCAGTATTATATTAAATGCAGAGCTGATCTGTTAGGACAAAAACCAGTGAAGTCTTGGACAGAATAATTAACTACAGTTTCAGAATCAGGTAGATTTCTTGGAGTTTGGTGGAAAGATGGAGGCTGGAAGTTTAAGAGGAATTGTGAAGCATAACGGCAGGAATATCTATTACAGCGTCAGGGTGGAGCTGGACTGAAAAGATAAGATAAATGTTGATGAAGTAAGACTTAGAGATGCAGCATAAGTGGAACTAGAGGTTCTTGGATTCAATGTGTTGAGCAATATAGGAATTTCCAAGCACACTTAGCTAGAATGCATCTAGCAAATTCAGACACTGTGCTTCTCTTCTGATGTCAGTGAATTCCTCTTTTTGCATGTTGAAATGTGAACTTTGGTGGAAAAGGGTTAAACCTGCAGCTTGTGGAGTTGTGACAAGATGGTTATTCTTTCAGGACAGCTCTCTATTGACAACTGGTTTTCTCACCTGCATTTTTCTGGATGTTCATCTCGTTTATTGTTGAAATCGAGAGAAATTTTTGCATCCAATCCAATACCGAAGTAATTGTTCATTACACATTTTTCCGTATACCCATTTCTGAAGAACAAAATAAATTAAGCTTATCCTCCAATATCACAAAGATTCAAAGAGAGAAAAGAACTTTCATTTCAATTTTTTTTTACCTTGGAAAGGTGTATTCACTAAATCATCACCAGATAATGGTAGTATTTACCAGCAAACCCCACAACAAAGTGGCATTCCCAACTAGAAGACGCCATTAGAGAGTTCGATTCATGCTAAGATATCTTTCAATTGCAAATCGCCCACCACCAGAGAATTACACTACAACCGGAAGACTTTTCAAGAGAGGAAGGCACCTGATCAGGAATCTACTTCAGATAGTTGTCGTTTGACCTGCTGAGCTAGGCTGTCCAAAAACTGACCTGGTGTAGAGAAAGATTCCCAATGAGAAAACTGTGTGGTGTTGTAGAACAGAGGGGCCTAGGGGCTCAGGTACATAAGTCTTTGAAATTTGGATCACAGGTAGACAGGGTGGTTAAGAAGGTGTTTAGCATGCTTGCCTCCATTGCTCAGATGTCTGAGTATAGGACTTGGGACTGCAAGCTGAGGCTGTACAGGACATTGGTGAGGCCGCTTTTGTAGTATTGTGTGCAGTTCTGGTCGGCCTGCTAAAGGAAGGGTATTATTGAATTGGAGAGGGTTCAGAAAAGATTTACCAGGGTGCTGCTGGAAATGGAGGGGTTGAGTCATAAAACTAGACTGGGACTTTTTTCATTGAAGCATAGGAGGTTAAGGGTTGACCTTATAAAGGTTTCTAAAATCATGAGGGGCATAATTAAGGTGAATAGCAAAGGTATTTTCCCTATGTGGGGAAGTTCAAAACGAGGGGGCATATTTTTAAGGTGAGAGGAGAAAGAATGACCAAGAACTTGACAGGCTACACAGCGAGTGGTTCGTGTGTGGCAAGAACTGCCAGAGGAAGTGGTTGATGCAGGTAAAAGACATTTGGATAAGTCAGTGAATAGTAAAGGTCTGGAGAGATATGGACCAAGTGCAGGTAGGTGGGACTAGTTGGGCCGAAGGGTCTGTTTCCTTGCTTTAGACTCTATTGCCAGAGATTGAAGGTTGCTTATACAAAGACTCCAGTTGAGCTGAATTACAAATGCACGAAAGTGTATTTTCAATCACAGTGAACAATCTTTGTACTCCGGATCTCCTCACGGTTATTGCTTTTTCAGCAAGGTTTCAAGAAAGAGAACTGATTCTCTGAAAATGAGGAGTGATATTGGGAGGGTTAGGGTTAGGGTTAGGGTTAGGGTTATGGAACATGGTTTAGGGATAAGCATAAAAGTGAAACATAATTATAAAAACAATCTTACATGGATCGATAGTTCAGTTTAACATATTTTGATGGGTTATACAAGTCAAGATACTTAAGCAGTAGTGCCATCTGAGAAGGCTTTGATACATGTTTAACAAATAGATTTAAAAAGGAAATCTATTTAAATACTTGCCAATGTTTCTGTTTCTTTAAAATTCTTTTCAGAATTATTTTCCTTCTTTTACATGCACATCAGCAGCTGACAGAAAGGGGGCGTTGGTTGCATACTGACAGTCGCCATTCAACACTATTCCTGGCCAGCAAGACCACTGGGAACCACTCTATTGAGATTACCTCGTCCAATTCCCTCACTGCCCTCAATGATAGGTACCCAGCCTATGTCCACTGCCTGCTTCATGTAGTACAAGTTAAAAAGCGTGATGGTCGCATCTATGGCTTTTCCAATACAATGGACTAGGAATTAGAAATGGATTTGTTCCTGAAAATTTACCTTGCTTTCTTGAAAATTCTGACTTGCCTGAGGTACAGATCCAGAGGCAATAATAGCCCCTAGTATCCATCTTGCCTGACTACTCCTCTTCACCTCAAACTTTCAACAATGGATTATTGGAGGTAAGAACAATTGAGAGAGACATGTGAATGAGCATTAGTCTGAATCTAACTGGTACTGATCTGGAAGTGTCTGAACAGACAATATAGATGGAGATTTCTGAAGAGAGGTCCTTAACCCAAAACATTAAATCTGTTTCTCTCTCCATGGAAGCTGCCAGATTTCAGCATTTATAGCACTTTTTTTCCCCAAATATAAGGAACTGCAGTATTATGCTTTTGCTGTTTGAGAAGTAACTTTAATCTGTAATGAACACATGCTGTTTATGATCTGGAAATATCAGATGGCACAATGTCAAGACAACCTTACTCTCAAGCTAGTTTAAGCTTTACTTAGTCTGGAACGGCACACACTCATAAATTACAAAGATCACCACACTTATTATGCATTCTGATCAGCATAAACAGAAATCTCAACAAATAAGATCGAAAATAAACCAAAGCAATGATTTGGAGTCAGATCAAACACCTTGAATGAATGTACAGCACAGGGAAACATTATGAGGGTAAACAAAATCAGTGACTGCTCACGGTACATACAGAACATCAGGTTCCGGGTTCACAGTATCAGCATGGACAAATAACATTTTGCTGATGACAGATCCGCCAGCCAAGGAAGCAGCCAATCCAGCTCTTAAACCTGATAGGAGGTGCAGAGGGCAGGGAATAAGTGGTAAGATCAACATTGCAAGCGCTTGCCAGCACAAAACAGAATCAGCTACACCCCACCTGAATAAAAGACAAGTTAACATAGCTGAGTCCAGTATGAAAGCAGTGTTCAGATCCTCAGCCCCTTCTCCCCATATTTTCCGACACACAATGTCTCAGATAATGATGTCAGGTTTTGAACTGCGAAAGGCAAGAGTTAAAAGAGAAAATAGTTTGCAGTCTACCACATGAAAGGAAAGGTATCTGAACAATACGTTCAAGCTTCTCAATAATTAAACGTTACAACTTTCAAAACATCAGTATTTCCTACTTTTGAGTTATACTTGGGACAGGCCTTGTATGAATTCTGCCTCATTACTGAAGTGATAACCTGGCTATCTCACTTTTCTTTCTAGAACACTAAAACTGTCAATAACCTGTTTCTCTAAGGTGTGTTCTTCAGTGGTCACCATAAACTATAATGTGCAGTCAATAATTATGAGGTGCGGTTAGTAGTCTATAAGATGCAGCCACAAACCATAAAGTGCAGTCGGTAACTATAAAGGGACAGTCAACAACTTTAAGGGATAGTCAGTTACAGCTTAAGCCCATGATAAGTGAACATGAGTTTGTTTTTCCTACAGCAAAAATCCAAACTGATTCTGAGGAAGGGTCACCGGACCCGAAACGTTAGCTCTGTTTTCTCCTTCACAGATGCTGTCAGACCTGCTGAGCTTTTCCAGCAACTTTGTTTTTGTTCCTGATTTACAGCATCCGCAGTTCTTTTGGTTTTTACTGCCGTTTGCAGCAAAGGTTACTGGATCTTGATCAGCTGGAATGTTGACTTTTTCATTCTTTAAATTTGGTGCACAAATCCCTGGCTAGGACAGGCTAGTGACCTTGAGAAGATGGTAGTGAGCTTCATCTTGAACTGCAGCAGCTCTGTGGGTGTAGGTAGACACACAATGCTATTAGGGAGATTCCAGGATTTTGACACAGTGACATTAAAGGAATGGTGATATAGTTCCAAGTCAGGACTGTGTTCATCAGTCTGAGCCTAGATGTTGTCCAGCTCTTGCTATATCTGGACACAGACTGTTTCAGCACCTGAAATGTTGTGAATGGTGCTGAAAACTGCAAACATCACTGAACATACTCACTTGTGACTTAATGATGGAGGGTTGGTCATTGATAAAGCAGCTGAAGATACTTGGAGCAAGGCCACTACCCTGAGGAAGTTCTACAGTGATGCCCTGCTGCTGAGATGATTAACCTCGGACCACCGCAATCCTCAATTCCCACTTAAAAGTTTTGCTTGGTTTCCTTGATGTCACACTTAAATGCTGCCTTGATGACAAGGGCAGTCACTTAAATCTCGCTTCTGGAGTTCAGCTTTTTTTGGTCTACGGTTGGACCAAGGCTGCAATGTGGTCAGGAGCCAAATAGGCCTGGTGGAACCCAAAACCTCGTGTCAGTGAGCAGGTTATTCCTTTGTTTTAAATCCACCATCCCTTCGCTAAAGCTAATGGCCTTTCGACTTGGTTATAAGCATGGTTCCCTTTGGACACCTTCGGTGCTGTCACCCTTTGCAGCATCCAGTGCCTTCAGCTATTTCTTTATATCACATGGAGCTGGTTGGAGAACAGAATCTGTGATAATGGGGACCTCAGGTGGAGGCTGAGGTGGATCATTCCATTCGACAAGCCTGCCTGAAGATGGATGCAAATACTTCAGCTTTGTTTTTTGCACTTGATGTGCTGGGCTCCCCAATAATTAAGGATGTAAATATCTGTGGAGCCTCTGCCTCCTGTTGGTTATTTAATTGTTCATGCATGACTGTATGTGGCAGTACTGCTGATCTTAGGTCCGACCTGCTGTGGAAAATCTTAGCTGTCTGTTATTTGCTGCTTTTATTGTTCAGCATGCGAGTATTCCTGTGTTGTGGCCTTATCAGGTTGACGCCTAATTTTGAGGTATGCCTGGGGCTGCGCCTGTATTGAACTAAGGTTGATTTCATAATGGAGTGGGGCATATACTGCACAATGAGGTTGCAGATTCTGCTGATGATGGCCTACAGTGGCTCACGGATGACCAACTTTGAGTTGTTCAATCTGTCTGAAATCTGTCTCATTGAGCAAAGTGGCAGTGCCACCATATAATGGAGGGTAACCTCAACAAGAAAAATCGGACTTTGTCTCCAGAAGCACTGCATGTTGGTTGCTCTAATTAGTACTGTCATGGCAGGCGCAACTGTGACAGCTAAACTGGTGGGCATGAGGTCAAGTAGATTTTTCCCTCGATGGTTTCCTCACCACATGCCACAGACTGAGTCTAGCAGTTATTAACTGCTACTGTAAGACTCAGCCAGCTCTGTCAGTAGTGGTGTTGCTGAGCCACTCCTGCTGATAGATATTGAAGTCCGTCACAGAGTAAATTCTGTGTCCTCGTCATCCTCAGTGATTCCTCCAAATGATATTAAACATGGAAAGGTACTGGTTCATCAAATGATCGGGTGGGGGGAAATGTGATAATCATCAGGATAATTCCTCACCCATTTCTGATCTGATGACATAAGATTTCATGGGGTTCAGAGGCAATATTGAGGATTCCCAAAGCAACTCCTCTTGACTGCATACCATTGTGCCACCATCTCTGGTGGATCTATCCATGTGTAAAACAGGATGTAATCAGGAATAGTGATGGTATGATTCCAAGGGCATGACTATGCCAGACTGTTGCTTGGCTAATCTGTGAGACAGCTGTCCCAATGTTGCCAAGGCACCTAGATGTTGATGAGGACAGTTGTTTTGCCACTGCTGTCTCGGTTGATTCTATGTGGATTGTCCAATTTCATTCATTTCTAATTTGTCTTCTGTAGACCAAGGGAAATCTTGCTCCATTTGCTTTTGATATGAGAAGTGCAGTGTGCACTAGGGGCTTCTGTCACTGCAGATATTCTTTAATTGCACATGAACAAGGAACAGGAGTAGGTCTTTCAGGCCCTTAAGCCTGCTCCACCATTCACTAAGTTCATGGTTGATCTGATTGTTACCTTAAGTCCGTATTCCCACCAACTGCTGATAAGCTTTCACCTCCTTATTTACCAAGAATCTATCAACCTCTGCCTTAAAAATAGTCAAAGAAACTGCGTTCATCGCCTTTCCCAAAAGGATTTCAGACCCATGACCCTCTCAGAAAAATACTACAGCTCATCTATTTTAAATAGGCAACCACTTATTTTTGCCCAGTGACCCCAAGTTCTAGGTTCTCCTATCACAGGGATCATCCTCTCCACATTGACTGTCAAGACCCTTCAGGATTTTATATGTTTCAATCAAGTCACCTCTTAATGTTCTAAACTCCAATGCATACAAGCCTAGCTGTTCAACCTTTCCTCATAAGACAACCTGCTCACTAGTAAACCTCCTTGAATTGCCTCCAGTACATCGACATCCCTGCTTAAATAAGGTCTCCATGGTCCACTATGCATGGTACTTCAGATGTGGTCTCACCAGAGCTCTGAAGAACTGAAGCAGACTCCCTACTTTTGTACTCAAGTCCCCCTTACAATAAATGATAACATTCTATTAGCTTTCCTAGAATCACTTACTTGGGTAAAGAATCTTGGAGTTAAGCATTGGCAAGTTATCTCGATTTGCTGTTGGAGTAGGAAGTGAAGAAGAGCTGCCGATTGATAAGCTTCCTTTACTGATCCTCCTCTCACAGGGAGACTTTGGCACTGCAATGATGACAGGACAATAGTCTTCAGTTATGTTCCGTTGGCTACTATAAAGTGAGATCCTTATAAATACGCCATAAGACTCATCAACCCAAACTAGTGATCCTTAAAGTGAAGAGAAACACACTTCAGAAATGTAACAATTCAGCAGAATTACAATGACTGGAACCATGAAATGATCCAAACAAGAAAGACTGATTGTTCAACATGAACAACCGTCATATAAGCCTTAAAGCAAATGCTCCCAGTTTCTACTTGCTGGCAAATTGTGTATTTTATCTTTTTGTCATGTCTGCTCAGAACATTGTCTAAACCAGGGTAGAGCAGTGGCCTTAAGAAAGCAAAGCCAAATACTAAAAGTTGTATTTCCAGTTTATGAATTACACATTTATTTAAATGCCAAGTTGTTTCTTTGCCATTACTTATTTTCCTATTCTCTCCCTGAACAGTCTAACATTCTTCAGGTGAAAAAGTAGATACACCATATCAAGAACAATGACATTTCTGCTTGAAGATCTGAGTCAGTTCTGCTCCAGAATTCATTAAGTTCTATTTTTACCCTCAGATTTTAAGTCAATGCCATTTTGACCTTCAGACTTTGTCAATTTAAGTCGTACCTTCAGACTTTGTTAAATGCCACTACAATCCTTGTTCGGTGCCATTCTCACCCTCAGACCTTGTTCGGTGCCATTCCTACCTCCAGATCTTAAGACAATGCCATGATTACCCTCAGATCTTGGTCAGTGCCATTCCTAACCTAAGATTTGGTAAATGCCAATTCTGACCCAGAATTTGGTTGGTGATGTTCCTGCCATACTGCCATTCCAATCCTCACACTTCTTTAATGGCACTATTGCAGATACGTCTAGATTAGTATTGACCCATATCCTACTTTTAAGACATTACTATTAAGGCTCTAAGTTCCCTCTCACTAATCTCATGACGCTTCCTCTTTTTCTTGGTCTCTTGCCATCCTCCTCTTTTCTTCTCATGTTTTTCTTCCTTTCCTCCTTTTTCCCCAATTGTGCTTCTTCACCAAATTTCTTGGATCTGCTCCATGCTTCCCATGAAAATCTGGAACTCTATCTCTGCAAACTTGGGTGTCTTAGTACACCCAAACAGGCTTTTTTTGGAAGAGATGAAAATCTCTAATCAATATGTCAAATGGTTCCATGCATGGATAGTACTGTATCATAGAACTCCAAGGTTCAGTACCTTTCCGGTAGACCCTTCCTTTAACAGTGGCACTATATGAGGAGTGCAGTGAGATCTTGTCTTCAGTTTGGGGTTCTCTCCTTTCTTCCTCTGAACAGAGACCAAAGGTGTAACCTTCCTGATCCTGTGTCTGTGCATTCTGTTCATCCACAGCTAGACAGAACAGTGAGAATAAAGATTATCAATTACAAGCTATTCAATGCGACTAAAGCTGATTTTTTTTCCCCACAATGATTCAACATGTGCTGGTTACTTGTTAACCATGCCTGTTACTGGTCAAATACACATTGATGCCTTTTTAATTTACACTGTGCTGTTATATGTTTAAAATATTGAGTTATTTCTGTGAAGAGCTCAAACTGGTGAGACTCATACACCTAAAATGTTTCAGCAATCAAGAAAGATGTGGACATTGCATTGAATTATCTTTTATCTTGATTACTGTCAGCCTTTAATTCATACAACCAGGGGCCAGGGAGTTTTGTACAGACTGGTAAGGGTGCCTGATGCTTGCGAATATCAACGTAATAAAGCCACTAACTGTGCAGTGAACTGCTGGTGATTCTTACCTTTCTCTGCATGTTCTATAATCTGCCGTATTGCCTTCTTCAAGCTATTTGCTCGCAACATGAGTTGCTCCCTTGGCCGGAATATCTGTGGCCTGGGGGAACAGGCTGGCCTGTCCTCAGCCAGGTCGCACATGATATTGGTTGTCTCGCAATCCTCCTGCTCTTCAGCAATTGTTGGCGGTGGGTTTGGTAGGGATGATGCTGCCTGGGATTCATCGTTGAGTGTTTTAAGCAATGAGTCCAGTTTTTCTTTGAGGACAGAGCACTATGATTAAAAGAAGAATATATCAGAACAGTTAAGGAAAATATTGCAAAAATAAAGTGTGCGGAAGTAGTAAAGCTACAATATCTTACAGGATAAAGCAAGTGTTAGTAGCTGAAGACAGTGGTGAGCCAATGTTTATCAAGGGCAACGGTACAATGAGTTGCAAAAGGAATTTGGATAAGGAGAGACTTTGTAGGTTCTTGGTGGAAATGCTACGCTATCAGTGGCATGGCGGAGATCTGGTTCAACGATGATATTGGTTTGCTATCTATACAGGAACAAAGATGATTTTGGTAGAAAAGAAGAAGCGGAAGGGATATAACAGAAAAGAACATCTTGGAACAGGTTTGATCCTGTCGAGGCCAGCTGTGGCAGAGGTAGAAATTGCGTGATGGAAGATCTGAAAAGACAGATACAATCTGTGGACATCTGTTGACACAGAAACATTGAAAGTAGGATGCGGCGGCTATTTGGCCCTTCATGCAAATGGCCAATCATCCAACTGAACAGCCTGTTGCTGCTTTCCTTACATATCCTCTGATCCCTTTAGTCCCAAATGCTACATCCAACTCTTTCGAAGAAATCATTTAATGTTTTGGCCTTGTCTGCCTTCTAAATTCCACAGGCTTACCACTGTCAGGGTGAAGACGTTTCTCTTCATCTCAGTCCTAAATGGTTTACCCTGAAATTTTTAAATTGTGACCCCTGGTTCTGGACTTGCCTGCCATCAGAGACGTCCTTCTTGCATCTATTCTGTCCAGACCTGTTCAAACTTTACAGGTTTCTATGAAAGCCCCCTCACTCTTCTGAACTCCAACAAATATAACCCTAACTAATTCAACCTTTCCTTATGTGTCAATCCTGTCATCCCAGGAATCAGTCGCTGCATTCCCTGTACCAAGAACATCCTTCGTCAGATGAAGAGTTCTGTTGGACAATCCACCTAACCTGCACAGCTTTGAACTGGGGGAGGTAACTGGAGCATGCAGAGGAAACCCAAGCAGGCAGTATTCGAGATTCACTGAGTAACTTCTCCAACTCATGGAGCTGCAAATTGCATCAATTGCTAGGGATAGTCTCAAAAGTATTTAAAGGGGCAAACAGGAGAGAGGCCATGATCCTTGACCTAAGGATAATTGGTAAATGAACCTCAGTGAACAGTATGCTATCAGATCTGATCTTAAATATGAGATGGTACAGCAGATCAATCAGAAAATACAACAAGAATGTCCAGCAAACCATAGTAAGAGACTGCAACATGTTGCCACTTAAATTTAAGCTTATGACAGAAGAAGCAATTTGTTTCATAGAGATATTCAAATTTAGGAAGGCAAATTACAACGATGGGCTGGCCAGCATCATCAGAATGGCAAAATAGTTCCTGTTTAGGTATATTCTGCAGAACGCAAAACTGCATATCACTGAAGAAAAGAGGAAATAGTGTAAGCAAAAAAAAAGTAGAAGGATCTAGAAAAGGTTGCTCATAATATGTAGTTAGCATCTCATGGCTTGCACAAATAAATATGAAAACAAGGCAATGGAGGTTGTTAGGCAATAGCTAAACAGAAAATTAGGGAAGGATAACAGACTACTATGAACAAGTCAAAATTTCTAGAATAATAGGCAGTGTAAAAAGGGAACAGTGGATTCATTGAACAATCTCAAAGATAAAAGTATATTAAATGATCAAGGGGCATTGATTATAAGACGCATCTCTTGTGGATTTAGAAGGCATCCTCAAACGGAGAGTGAATTATTGAGGTGGGTATGGTACAGTAAGAGAAACTCTACATAAAAAAAGGGTGATTTTGGTTAATAAATTTACAGGGGTTCTTTGAGAAATGACAGAACTTGTTGGTAGTGGAAATACAATGGATGTGATACGTTCATATTTCAGCAAGGGCTTTGATAGTGTCCCCCATGGTAATTGCTCCACAAGGTTAGAATGCAAGGTCAACTTTAGGCAAGCCAGTGAAATGGGTTGAAAATGAGCTAAACCATAGAAAGCAACAATTACTTGAAGAGGAGCTGCAGGGAACCACTGCTGTCCATGTGCTGTAGAGAGGCACACAATACCATTTGGGAGGGAGATCCAGGATTTTGACCCAGTGACACTGAAGCAATACTTTTCCACATTAGGATGGTGAGTGGTTTGGAGGGAAACTTGGAGGTGGTAGTGTTCCGAAGTGTCTGCTGCCCTTGTCCTTCTAAGATTGGAGCGGCTGTAGGTTTGGAAGGTGCTTTCTAAGGATACTTGTTGAATTTCTGCAGCATCTTATAGATGGCACACATTACTACTACTGAGCATCGGGTGGTGGAGGGACTGACTGTTACGGACGTGGTACTAAGCAAGTGGGTTGCTTTGTCCTGAATGGTGTCAAGCTTCTTGATCGCTTTTGAAGTTGCATTAGGCAAGTGGAGGGTGTTCCATCACACTCCTCACCTGTGCTTGTAGATCGTGGACAGGCTTTGGGGAGTTTTGGCTGGTGGGAAAATCAGTTGGAGCAGTAAAGAATACTCTTGCTTTGCTGCATGTGTGTGCAGCTGCGCAGCTGACTTGAAACAAAGTTTTATTGCACGTGAAATACTACCCAACGGACAAACTGATTACACTTGAAAACAAAATTTTAAAACGAATACGAGTGGCAAGTGACACTGAATACGGTCAAATGCAGAGTTTAAAGTCTAGGAAAAGAATAAGCTGTCTACAGTTAAATAGCACACTGACACTTATTATCCGATCTCACACCTGAAGAATGGGTTACTTATGTGATCTATCAGAGGGCATGCCAGTGCTTGTGGAACTTTTGAGTCAGTGCCACTAGCAGAGAAAACTGAAGGGTAAAAGTGGTTGATGGTGAAGCTTTCCCTGCATACCTTTCTCGCCATAGTCTCTGATTCTTCCCAGTTCTCTGTTGTCCTTTCGTAAGCCTTTCCAACCCGGGCAACAAAATCTTTAACTGTTTCGCAAAGTACTCTGCAAGGAGAAAGCAGATGAACAAAGCAAAGATCAGCACCCGATATCATTCACACTGGCTTGTGCCAAATGTAGCCATCCTCTCAATGACTCTGCTGGCTTTCTTCATGCAAAATCTACTTTGAGCTAGCTGTCCATCTGTGTTCTTTTCTGTCTCTTGATGTGTGAGTGACCAATACTAACCATGTGGCCATCAGCGTTGCATGAGCCAACAAGACATACTTCTGACTGCTGAAAGTTAAAACATTCATCAGCACGTTTTCATATCCAACTTTGTATACTCAGTGACGAATCTGAGCTTTGTTTTTGCCTTTAATGCATTTCATCTGACTTTGGCTACATAGATCAAGAAAGCTTAGTGGGTCCTGATAATGAAACAGCTGGGCACTAAAAACACTCATTTTGCATTCACAGATTTCTGCAGCTGTTACTTCAGTACACAGAACTACTGCTGCTCTAACTGAAAAAAAAGGCACGAATTTCACAGGTTGGTCTATTTTTTAAGTGGCAGATTGGAGGGAGAGGAACGACAAATGCATGGAATGTTGAGAAGAGCAGGAAGGAGCAGCTGAAACCACTCAGACTTGTAAACATAACGTGCTGGTTTAGTCCAGATACATTTTCTTGTATGATACTTACTTTGCCGATGATATTACCACCGAATGCTGATCTGACGTCAGGATTTTTGAGAGGTGTGCAGCAACTGAATCCTCATAGAATGAAATCTGCTGTACCTAAGGAAAATAGGACACAAGCTCCATTAGTCACCCTCACAGTCCAGCCAACATAACTTCACACAAAGTGATAAAGCTTTAGTTTACCTGCTCTGGAACAAAGGATAGAAGTCAGGAATAGGAGTAAGCCATCCAGCCCTTCACCTGATCACACAGATATGTATCTTTTATAACTTTAATCATCTACCAAATCTTCCTTTAACTTTCACCGATTTTCAGAGAACTCCCTTAATCTAACCCTACATAAGATATTCTTTAAAGCATTACCATCCGTGAGAAAAATGGAACATAAGCCCTGCACCCATACAAAGACAAAGG